ATTTTTTCGTGTCATATGCACTTTAAAGTTTCATCAAAATATCTGGCTCGTTCGGCAAATACCTTCTTCTGACTTTCGCCTTTAATCCACGAAAGATTTCAGAATTTTCTAAAACCCAGCACGGATTGAGAAATGCCTCTTCTGCACACTTTTCCATGACATCTTCAAGATTGTAGGATTCCGCTACTTTATAAATCCCAAGACAATTGGGCTCTTGAGATTAGAAACTGGCAGCATTTGTTAATGGGGTGGCATGGTTCGTCTACGTTCTTAGACCGTCTTCCTTTCACCAATGCCAGTAAAGTTTGTTTGATGTGTTGATCTTTCCCTTGCCACGAGGGTTTTACTCCAGGTTCTTTGGTTTTCCTCCATCAGCAAAATTTAAAACGTAACTATTGAGTGTTGTGTTGTAAATAAGAAAATGTAGTGCTAGTGTGCGGGTGCGACAGTGGGCCAAAATGGAAAACAATATATATATATAATATATAATGAAGAATTTGTAACCCACTATAAAAAATGATTTATTTATGCATATGCATTTTGTTCCAAATATTTGACTCTCTTGGCATAAACTCTCGTCTTACTTTCAAGCTGTAATCCAAAACATTCTTCACAACTTTCTAAAATACGGCAAGGTTTGAGAGATGCCACTTCTGCACACTTTTCCTTTACATCTTCAAGGTTGTAGGATTCCGCTACTTTACAAATCCCAAGACAATTGGATTCTTCAACACTTGAGATTAAAAACTTGCAGCACAGATGTTTGACTTTACTGACTTGGTATTCTTCAGCAAGTTGAAGGAGAAACTCATAGTTTTCCTCTGCAAATATATTAGATATTAGTTAGAAAGAAGAAGATTTGTGAAATTGTTGAGGTTGGCAAATTCCTTTCCTCGACAAGTATCCAAAAATCTTTTAAATAAGTTTGTGATTTCTAAATTGGAAACCAGTGATTGCAAAATTATAAAACGGATCAAAAGTGTTGATGTTTTCTCGTAAGTTTAACGCAACTTTTTTTAGTTCTCGATAAAATTCATGTCTTTTTCACTTCTATTTACCCAACACTTACCGTTGATATGCTTTCCTTGGGAAATTACGTCCGCGTAGATCACTCTTAGAAAAGCACCAAATTCATCGCTTTGCTTCCCTGGTAGATCTATTTGCTTGGCGTCCTTTTCACGGAAACCGACTGACGAAAGCATTTTCTCAAACACGGGAGAAGACATCGAAAGAACGCATTTATGGACGAAAAACTTAGTGTTTTCGACGACGAGCACCAAATCACTGAAGTGTTGAGGAGTTGAAAAGTCATAACCTTCATCATTATTGCTTTTTGCCTGTGCCATCTTTTTAGCTCTTGTTGAGTAGGAACAGGAATCACGAAATTGAAAACTTTTGGTAACTTTAACTGCTTATAATTACAGAGGGGGGCGGAGAAATCAACAAAACAGGTTATCGGCATTCCTACACAATAGTTAACAGCATGAAATAAGAACTGAACTGCAGACACATATTAAATCAAGTGTTTGTAAAAAATAAAATCACTCAGTCTTCGCTTGAAGCTGATGAATTCGAACTCCAATTCAACCAGGTTGAACATTTGTAAAAGAAATAGACTTAAATTCAAAGATAATCAGATATAACGATATAAGTCTAAACGGATTCCTTCGAATTCCCTACCAATTATAAAATATTAACGAATCTATTCAGTATTAAATTGCAAATATTTCCGGGAACTGATTATAACTCGAACCTTCCAAAAATTTAGTTATGAGAAAAACAAACGTCAAAAATATATGAAACAAGAAAAAACGTTGATATAGAGCCCGGGGAAGAAAAACAGTTTTTGGCCTTTCGCCATAAGGACAGCAGAAAAATTGACATTTTCATGAATACTAATAAGTAGATTTACTCTTCTAATTCGACAAAAATTCGTCACAAGTTTCGAGCAGCAGCAACACAAATGAAACGCTTAAAAATTTGGAGTATTAATTGGGTACAATCTATAGCCGACCGCATCAAGCTTGTTTATTCGCTTCGTTTATAATATTGCTTTTATTTAATTACCATGAAACTTTCATCAAATGTTAAGCAATAAT